GAAAAGGTAAGTTTTTAGAGTATCACACACTTTATATTTTGTTCCTTAAAGTATCACACACTTTATATTTTAAGTTTTATTTAGTTTCTCTAAAAAAAAATATAAACATTTGTAGTTTTTATACATTATTATATTATAGTAAACTGAAAACTTTAATATACATATTTAAAATACAGTATTTTATATATAACACACTCGTAAATCTTTTCCTAGAGAAATCTAGTACGTGATTGTGTGTGATTCGCGTTTTGTTCGTATCCTCCTGTTGATCTCCGTTCCTGGCACGCGAGCCCTTTCCCTTTCGATTATTTTCCAAATCCTCGTCACGTAACCGAAACAAAGCGATCAGCTGGCGCGGCTGGCGATGTAACGGCTTGTTACGCCGTTGCAAATTTGATATACCGCTAACGAGCTCGCTGTCAAACGATCGCGTATCCAGGCAGGGACAGAGAAAGAGAGANAAAGAGAGACAGACGACACGCAAACGAGAAGGATCGATAGACACACGATGGTCAGGGAGCCGGTCTGCTCCGGTTAGGGCCTCAGTTTGTGATGCGGGGTCCGTGAGTGCCGTGTCACGAGCCGGAGGGCCGTGATTGTGTCATCCGTTGGTGAGGGCCGTTCATGAGGGCCAACGTTCCGCCGAGACGATCGAGAAAAGCGTTATTCAGGGTCACGGGTATGCTTATCAAGGAGACGTCCCTCAGGTATCACACGACTTCGCTGCGCTGTATTCGATATTGGCTGCGCGTGAGAGTAGTCAAAGTGCTTTTCTCCGATATTTTTTACCCACATACACACACACGCGCAATACCGTGTCAACCCTTAATCATTTAATAATATAAATTAGAAATTAAATATTGCAATTTTACACAAATAATCGGTAGTAGCATTTTTATCGTACGCCGCAAATGTTGTCGCCCGCAACACGGCCGCGCCGCGTGAATAAAACAAATCGGAAGCAGGGAGGGAAGTGATGTTAAAAGATGTGCGAGGGGTATGAGGTGTGACGGACGGCGAAATGACAAGCGATACGATCGATGTTCTTCGCTGACAGGCATCTCGGAAGCGTAATTCCCGTCGTTCATAATATGCGGAAAGTGATGGAAAAGAGAAAGGCCAGCGAGCTGGAATTTCTGATGCGCGAAGTTCAAAGGCACTCTTCTCGCGCGCGCGTAGGGGGTTCCCGTGAGTTCCTGAATAAGAGATGTACTTTGACAATGGCTGCGTGACAATTGAATTCAACCTGAAATGCCACCGACGCGCGACGACAACGACGAGGACGACGTCTTTGCGAAGAATTTTCACGGAAAAATCGCGAGAAGTGTCCGGATCATACGCACGACAATGTGTGAAAAATTGTGAGGAAAATTGTTCGCCTTCGTGAGGAATATCTGCAAGGCATGTGCATACGTTTGATGGAAATGCAAACGCGCGAGATGTAAATTCTCGACAAATAAAACGCGTTCGCGGAGACGAATTTTTGTCGACAATGACAATTCGTCTCATCGACTTTTTTTTGCTTCCGGAAACGAACGAGATGTATAATTAATTGAATGAGAAACGCGAGATCACGAATAATTGATATAGTCCCTTTCGCAAATCGCGGATATCTCGAGAACCAGAAAAGATAGCTTGAAACTAATTTTGCAGGTATTTTCAATCGGCTACTCTGCGATTTATGGTAAAGAGTGAAAGTTAACAAATTGAATATTTCAAGAATGGTACAAGGTAGAGCAAAATAGTTTTCNGATCTCGTTTTGTATTAGTTAGATGCAAAATACCACGTAATAAAAGTTTAATAATTTTTATTATTTAAACATTCGATTGTTAAAAACAAAACCTAGAATGTTCAAATCGGGCTGGTATTTTGCAGTTTGGTGTGCTGAGAATTATAGCGTAAATCGTTTTTCTCTATCTCCTTTAGTTTGTTAGTTATTAATTTTGCAACTAACTGTGATGCTATGTGGTTGCGACTTAAGGGTGATAACTTGTTGACGTTGGCGTAAGGGTTACGATGNTAATTCATAAGTAATGGTAACTTGCTCGGAACAGTGGTTTTTTGATGATGTTAGTTACAACAAAATGGTGGTACTGGTAACTTTAGTCCCGAACTTCGACTCCCAAAGCACTGATTTTAACGTAGGTGATTTACCGATGGTGGAAGATCTGGATAGTTT